CGGCAATTATTGATTGCAAATTAGTAGTGCCAGCATCCCCTCTTTCTCCATACAGCGAGGAAATAGTGAATGGTCACTAATTGGACGTATGATTAAGAAGAGCAGTCAGCAAGGAAGAGCAGTGGGCAGTGAGAGTGAGAGTGCCAATTGAATGCTGATGCCTGGTCGGGCTGATTGGTCTTCAAATCAAGATCAAGACACTGGCGCTGAATGATCATTAACGATCGGCGGGTGCACAGACACAGCACTCGGCCAGTCGGACATCGGTCAGTCGGGCGCCAGTGTCAGTGTCCTAATCCACACATTCGGATAATTGCACAGCGGAGAACAACAGAGGAACAAAGTGGCCGTGCAGATGATCACCGCCGCCAATGCTCAACCATAGTGCACGATCTGATGATGATGAATTGTGGTCGATTACAATCGGAGAGATAAAGAACGAAAAGAGAAAGAAAAAAGTAAAAGAAAGTGAAATAAAGTGACTGAACACAGGCGGACGCAAATTAATTAGACCGATCAAGCAAAAGAGGATGTGTTCATCACACTGCTCTCAGTGTCTGGTGTGCCGGGACGGGCAGATGATCAGATGATCAGATGGCAGACACGTCGTCGTCAGCGTCGCTGTCGTCGGTTTTGTTTGAAATGCGCCAAAGCATGGCTCAATTGAACTGCTCACTGGCGCACACTTCAAGCACATTGACACTGATGATGAGGCACGGCCACTCAGTCAGACAGTCAGTCAGTCGACACAATGCAAACCACAAGGCCATTGGTGTTTCTTCTTCTTCTTCCACTGTTGCATGCAAAACTAAATGCTGGTTGTCAGCCGGCGGCAACACTGATCACCGGCGCTGTCAAACAATCAAGTTGTGCTTTTGATTGGTGAGCAATGCAAATTAAACGACACTTGCACTTTTTCTGCCAACCTGACAATGAGAATGAAGAATGCCTTTCGCAAACCAGAGCACCCGCTCGGCCGTTCTGATGAGGAGAGGCACATCCCTGCTCATCTTTTAATAATGACCATTTACAAGAAGCCCATAACAGCAACAACAACAGCAGCAGCTTACAAGAGCTACGACAACGGCAACGACAAGTACTTCGACACTACTGAAATTGACCACTGATGACCACTGGCTGCAATGAATGGCAATTGCTGTGAACACTAAAGTGCCATTTAGTTCTTCATTGCATAACTTATCGTAGTAGATTGCTGCTAGAATTGCTTTGCAGACCATTATGTTCAACGCTGACGAGGTTAACTGAATGATCAGCTTGCCAGTGACTGCAGAAAGTGTACTTTTTTAGAGCAAAAAATTAGAAAACTTCTGATGCAAGAATAAAATTCAATTTTTTAAATTATTTGTTCCAAAAATAACTAAATTAAAACATTTTTTTATTTTATTTAGAAACTTAAGCTCAGAAAAATGCCTGGAAAGATTGGCATCATTGGCAGCGGACTTATTGGCCGAAATTGGTCGATGATCTTTGCCAGTCAAGCTTATGACGTTTACCTTTACGACGTTGTGCCAGATGCAGTGGATAAAGCTTTGGTGTTGCTCAAAAATCAGCTTGAAACGTTTCAAAATTCAGGTACTCTACGTGGCACCCTAAACGCTGCTGAGCAGTTTGCTCACATTCACAAAACGACCAATTTGAAAGAAGCGGTCAACGGTGCTGTTCACATTCAGGTACAAAGGTTTAGTTTTGCGCTGATACTAAACTTTTTTTACTTTACCAGGAATGCGTTTTTGAAAACCTCGAACTAAAGCAGAAGCTTTTCTTTGAGATAGATGGTTTGGAGTGCACCTCAAAAGAAGTCGTCCTTTGCAGCTCGACCAGCTGTTTTCTGCCTTCTCTGATTGCCGAGAAGATGGTCAAACACCGAACGCAACTCATCGTCGGCCACCCCATCAATCCGCCCTACTTTGTGCCACTTGTGGAGATTGTGCCCTCGCCGTGGACTGAGCCGGCGGTGCTGGACCGAACTCGCCAGCTGTTGACTTCTGTTGGACAGAAACCGGTTGTGTTGAAACGGGAGATTGAGGGCTTTATTGTGAACCGTATTCAGTACGCCATACTCAATGAGTGCTACCGCCTGATTGAGGGCGGCATCATCTCAGTGACGGACGCCGACACTGTCATGTCAGAAGGACTGGGAATGCGCTACGCCTTCATGGGTCCCTGGCAGACGGCCCACCTCAATGCCGCAGGAATGGCTGAGTATTTTGAAAAGTACAGCAAAGGTATCTACGACGTGAGCACCACCATGGGACCGACTCCAAAGATGGAAGGCCCCACTGCCAAATTGATTGCCGATGAGCTGACTAAAAAGATTCCTATTGATAAGCTGGAGGAGCGCCGAAAGTGGCGTGATCAGCGTTTGATTGCTCTTTCTCAGTTGAAAAAGAAAATGGAATGAGCCTACTCGAAGAACTTGTTTTAGTTTACCAAACATTACTTTAACTGCTGATATTATTTTGATAAGGTCATGTCTAACCATCTGCGTACAATTGGTAAACGACGAAAATTATTTTCCACTAAAATTTTTGTTTTCAAACTAAAATGATCGATCAAAGTGATGTTTCAACCTTTAATAAATCTTTATAAGTCAAATCAATCGCATTAAAATCAACAAACAAAACAATCAATAAAGTATGATAACGAAATAAATCTCTTTTTGAGTGAATGAGTGAAAACAGAGCTGCGGGGTCAAAATGCATTCAGAGGAACTGGAGTCATTTGAGAATCAGTTTGGTTTGTTTGCTTGAGAGTGTGTGTGTGTGTTTGAGAGTGTAGGTGGTATTTGTTGTATCACAAAGGAATCAAGAGTGTGTGTGTGAGTATGTACAGAGAAGTTTGAGTGTCTGAGTGCAACTTTCTTACTTGCTGTACTCTCAAACCTGCGTCTCCCGGCTGAACTTTGGCGGAAAGAGTGTTTTGTGCGACTGAGCGGCAAACTGAATCATGGTCTTGATGTTCTCCGTAGTGGCAGAGTGCATCGCCGTTTTCAAAGGCGTTGGTACTGCTACTGCTGAACCAACTGCAGCAGCAGCAGTGCCATTTTTCGTAGGACTTCCTTTCACTGGCGATGCGGCGGCACTGATGCTGCCCAGACCATTGCAGCAGCCACTTGAATTTGCCTCCTCGCTCAGCTCACCATAACACAGCTTGAGAGAGGTGTTCAGAGTCATCGTCGTTGTCGTCGGCGGCGGCGGAGGCGGTGGCGATGGACTGGCCTTGCCATTCTGACAGCAGTACAGAGGACGTAAGGTGGCGTCCACCTGTTCGGCGACCAAGCCTAGGCTGCTCTTTGTGCTGGAAACTGGTATCTGGACGGGAGATGCTGGTGGTGCTGGTGATACCTGTCCTGAATGATTTAGCACCGAGGCACCAAACCGCTGGTGATTAATACTGCTGTTGTTGTTGCTGAGGCAAATGTTGTTGATGTTGGTGTTGCTGGCGACCAGAAGGGCACTGGCGCCGTTCAGCAGTGTCGCCGCTTTGCCCGGCGATTTCACTGTCTGACTATTGAAGTGATTGTGGTGGCCATTTGCAAAGGAGTGGTTTGTGTGGTTGTTCAGGTGATGTCCATTGGCTGTGGTGTGATTGTGATTGTGATTGTTGTTGTTGTTGTTATTCGTTTGGTAGTTGCCGTAGATGTGGTTTCGGGTAAACTCGAGACTAGAGCTGCACAGTAGACTGCGCGTCAACGCCTTCTTTAGGTACTGTAATGAGATAACAGCAAAAATGTGAAATTGAAAAACTAAAATTGGGAATAAACTCCATACCTGTCGAAAGTTGGCGTTGAAGAAGAAGTATATCACAGGGTTAATAGATGAGTTACAGGCGCCCAGCCACTGAGCCAGCGGAGTAATACTGATGACTAGATTATCTGTCAAAAATACATTTAAAAGTAATTAAGATGCACGAAAGTTGAACGCGTTTCCGCTTACCAAAGTAAGAGTCTTCATCGTACGAGCCAAATTTGTAGTGGAGAAACACGAGGTAGAGTGGCAACCAGCTGATGGCAAAGAGTGAAACAATGACAATGAGCATCTTGAGCACTTTCATCTTTGACTGCTCGACAATGCGAGCATTCCACTGGTCGACGGTGTCAGTGCTCGTCTCCCGGCGACAGGCCGTGTGAAAGACAGGAATGCGACGTCGCCAGATTTTCAGCATCAGCAGCATGTAGAAGATGAGAATGATAGAGAGCGGCACTAGGTACTGAAAGCCTAGGTTGACTACCAGAAAGTAGAGGTCGGGCAGTAGCTCATCGGGCCACACTTCTTGGCACATCTGCATTGCAAGGAATAAAAAGTTGGTGAATAAAACGACTTTTTTCAAAGATTTTATTTTTCAAAAATATTACGCGTTCACTACGCCATCTGTGAACTGAAAATGCCACTGAAAAGCACAGTATTTTTGGCGATTTTCGCTGAATGCCAACAAAAATAAAAAGAAAGGAAATAAAGATGTAAATCTCTCAAACAAAAAAACAAGAATACAACTCAACTTGACAAATGAAACTGGCTAAGCTCGTTGAACTCGATGATAAATGAGCTTCCACTAACTACACTTTGCTGTCAGACAGTGTGTGTGTGAGCAGAAGCTAATGAAGCGAACGATCACCACCAGCACTTGTCAGTGGTAAAGTCAGTTCCAGTTGCATTAGCATCTAAAGTGACTGTAGTAGTAGTAGAAGTAACAACAGTAACAACAGTAAGAGAGTACACTCACCAGAATGGTCGTATTCTCACCAGTGACGGCGTCGACGCCGCCGTCAGCAATGGAGACCAGATCGAAGAAGAGCATCCAGGGAAGGGCGATAACCAGGCTGAAGAGCCAGATGAAGATGATCACAGAGCGACGCACCACTTGGCTGAAGCCATTGTTGAAGGGATAGTAGATGCCGTAGAAGCGATCAATGGAAATGGCAACCAGTGTGTAAACGGAGGCACTGACGGAGACGCCTTGAAAGTAGACCGTCGCTTTGCACATGAATCGGCCCAAGAAGTACGCTACGGTCAGTTTGGGTGGTGAAAAGAAAAAAAGTTAGAAATTATGAAAAAGTTATTGTAATAAATAGTGGTCACCATAAAAAGTGCGCAAAAAGGGGAATAAAGAGAAGGGCATGACAAAGATAGCTAGAGAATACAGAATCAGTGAATGTGGCGAGAGCCGATTCATTCTGCAAATTGAGATTCTGGGAACGTCAGTTTAGTGCCACGTGAAATGTGACTCTTTCTCCTTTCTCTTTCCGTACCCACACAATGATTACCCGTTTAGTGGGCATCGTCTGCGGTCTCGCAAGGCGCGTCAGTGTCTATTAGCAAATTGCAAATAGCCAAATTGCATTGCTTATTGTACGGCAGTGGCAGCGAAAGTGCAAGTGGCGACAATGGAGAGAGTATAAAAGAAGCCCAGTGACAATAAATCACCAGTAATAGGGAATAAAAGTAAGAAAGTGAAAAGGCTTACGAAAGAAAGTTTCGACTTTGATTTGATAATATTTTCTACGCAAAGCACTAAAGTGAGCTTTGTGCTAGTTGATGAAATGACCTTTTCTTCTTTTATGGCTACAAGCACTAGTGCAAATGAGCGACAGCAAATTCACATTGACTTACTGACTAGAACTCGTGTGGCCAATTGACTTCACTGACTCTTTCTTGATTGATCGGCTCTCAAAGTTCTTCTCTCGTTTACAAAGCACTAGAGCACTTGCAGATTAGTCACAACAAATGACAACATAAGAAGTTTAAAAAAGAAGCTAGCAAATGGCAATCCGAAGCTGCTCAGCTGAAGCTTAACTGAACTTAAAAACTAAAGAAACTTAGGAAAATTTTGAGCAAAACAATAACAAACAACTGCGACGTCAGTGTAGTTATTGGTTGACTCTGGTGGCACTGGTGGTGTCCACTGTCACACGCTGTTTAGTGTACCGCCAAAGAACCGTAATAGAAAGCGAGAAAATAAGGCATCAGTTNCTCTCTCTCTCTCTCTGTCTCTCTCTCTCTCTCTCTCTCTCTCTCTCTCTCTCTCTCTCTCTCTCTCTCTCTCTCTCTCTCTCTCTGTGTCTGTCGGTCTGTCTCCATTGGGTCTAGATTAATGACTTTTTTACTACTCGGCTGCCATTGTCATTACAGGCTAGTGTCTCTCTATCTCTTTCTTTTTCGTGAGTGTGTGGCGTTCACTTTGACTGTGGCATTTCTAGTGAGGGTTCAGTGTCTCTGGTGCTGCGAGGCGAATGACTTGCGCTCTCAAGTGACTTTCACTGCATAGCACTGTTCAACGGTTCAACTGTTGTGCTTCCAGCGGCGCCAATCAAAACTGACAGCCGAATATTTTCGATCACCATTGAACTGCAAGAGAAGCGAGAGAATGGAAGGAGAGAAAGAATGCTGAAAAGACGCAAACAAACAACAAACAACAAACACAATGAGAAGAGTAGCAGTAGCGCTTTCGATGTGCGCCACTGCATTCATAACTCTCCAGCCGTACCAGCTGCCGTCGTACAGTGGGTGAAGTTTAGGCAGGCAGGCTTTCATTATGTCGCCTGCCACTAATTGGCAAAGAAAAAGGAAAGAAGAAAAAAGAGGAGCCGACGCCAAGTGACGCCTAATGTGATGTTTACACAGCAGTTGCCTCCGAGTGTAAGGCACACAACAACTGCTGAGGAGAGCTGTTGCAAGTAAAATGAAAGCAGT